ATAGTAGTGTTGGTGGTGTCATGAAGACTTCAACAGCGAAAGAACGAGCAAATCCACTTAGAAGAGTGGAGAGACGTTCAACACAACGTAACATAAATCTTATGAATAAAACTTCATTAAGTAGTGATATGGTGTCTTCATTTGACCATAAAATTTCAGATAAGGATATTGATAGTGTACGTCCTCCACAGACAACATTTGATTTTTCATTTAAATCAATTCCAGAAAAGTCTGCTGCATTAGCTGCTGCAAGTGTTAATGCTTCTAGTGCAAAGCGGCTGGCTGCTGTTTCGCCGATTCAAACAATGAATACTAAGAATGATCCATTCACATCATCATTGTTTCTTCAACAATCGCCAACAGTCACAACTATTTCTGTGTCCGGTGGTTCAAAGAAGAAAGCATCAACAAAACGTGCGGCACCATCATCCGTTGCATTCAAAAATGACGAAGGTGTAAATAATAATAATCATGTTCGCCCCCAGACGGCAATAAGATCTAAAGCATTGTTACCACCACTGCCACCACCACCACCAGCAACTTCAAAAAGAATGCCAAATGCTGGTCGTAAAAAGAACAAGAAAAAAGCACAATTGACTGTGAATAATAGTCAAAATGTTTCAAATCAGCATCCTCATCAACACCAGCATCAGCATCAACACCACTCACATCAACACCATCATCAGCACCAACAGCAGACAGACGACGCATCATCAACTTCTGGTTCAGTAGACATTCAATCTGTTAATAATAATGCTCCAAGGCGTAGAATTAAATTTCCTGAAAAAAATGGTGATTGGATTTGTATGTTTTGTGAATATCGGCTGTATTATGGTGATGAGAGGCGTGCACGAAGGCGCCCAAAAGTAAACACTGTAAGTGCTAATGGTGGCTATGGGGGCAATAATAATGCAGGTGAAGGAGGAAGTGGGCCTGACAAGGCCCTTGCGACTTAATGACATTTGAGCCATTCGTGATAATGTAAGTTTACATTTATGATAATGGTGTGTAGTGAAAAAAAATATATGTGTTATGCCTCAGATTAACACTTACGTCAGGTGTCAGATGTATAATAAAAATTTGACCAGAATTAATAGATCGGCCTAAACTATAGCCTAATCCTAACCCTAAACTCAAACCCTAACCCAGGCCAAAGCGACATCTGACGCAAGTGGTAATTTGAGGCACAACATATGTATGCATACTTGTCTGTTTATTTTTGATTGATTGATTAATTTTAATTTTTCGAACCAATCATTAAAACGGATAAAAGGAAGAGAAATTCAGCGCACATGATGATGAGCTCAAAGGGAGGTTTTTAATTGTTTTTTTTTCGCGTTGGAAAT